GGGTTGTGAGTTTGAAAGAATCAGAAACAGCTGGGCAGCTTTCCCGAACCAGAGGCCAGGGTGGGGGGTCCTGCTGAGAGAGTGGGAGCCCCACAGCCATTTCTCTCCTCTCCCCCCACCCTATCTACTCCTCACTGCTCCCCTCTCCCTCCTCTCTACCCCTCCCCCCTTCCACTTCGCCCCTCCCCCCCACCCCAGGTGGGGTATGACAGGGAAGGAGTTGGGACTCGTTGACTGCTGTGACACAACTCCCACTCCCACTCCCCCCACGGGCACCCCATAATTCCCAGGCTGGCACACAGAGCCTGGGGTGGGGGGTGCTGAGTGGTCCTTACCCAAACCTTGAAATCCTTTTAAAAGCCTGGGGTCTTCCAACTTCTAGAGTGAGTTCCCTTGGGGCGGGGCCTAGCCCCTTCTTCCAGCCTCAGTTTCTCCCTCCTAACCTCTCATCCCCAGGTGTCTTTGGTGCCTCTTCCCAGCCATTTATCTAAACCAGAAAGTCCTGGTGTAAACAACACACTGAGACTGCTCACCCCCTGTAGCCCCAAGCTCACTGTCAGTTCTTAGAGATGGGGGTGTTAGAGATGACAGAGTGTGAGCGGACGGGGCACAGCTGGCTCAGACTCCAAGGGGGACCTGTGGCCCCTCTTTCACCTCTCGGTGCTCTTCGCAGGCAGCCGGAGGGAAGTCCAAGCTTGCAGTCAATGAAACGCTGACTTAGCCCCGACCCGGGTGGGTCAGCGCGGCGCTAGGCATGAAGAACAACCAACCAACCAAGAACAGTGTCTGCCTTCATGGCATCAACCTTCTTTGGGGAGAAGATAGACAATAAGCAGGATACTCCTAGGGAAATGCATCTGTTACAAAGTGATAAAACATGTGAAAGGGGCTGGGTCATGGTTGTCCCTGGGGTGCCTTGGGGAGGTGACATTCAAGCAAAGATGCAAGAGGCTGTTGAACAAGTCAGACAAATCCCAGGGAAGAGCACCCCAGCCGGGAAGAGTCAGCACAGACACCCTGGTGGGGGGGCTGGTGTGCTGAAGCTGGCAGGGGGGGCAGCTCCCCAGTGAGCTGCGGGAGGCCAGAGAGGTAACAGGTGGTCCGAGTAAGGCAGCAGGTGGAAAGTGGAGGTCCGATGGGGTGGGAGTGGGACAGGGCAGAGACAGACACAGGGCAGACACATCCCTCCCTGCCAAACAGCGGATCCTCTGCCTGCCGCCCCACCCCTGCCCCCTTCTGCCAGGCTGGACGCTCTAGGTGGCCCTGCTATTTTCTTCAAAAGAAGCAGGCCGGGGCCCTCCCTGGTGGCACAACGGGTTAGGACACAGAACTGCAAGTGAGCCGTAGCTGCTTCAGTGTGAGTTCGATCCC